TTAACCCGATTCACAGTCAAACGTGATTTGAAGCTATAGGGAATCTTTGAGAGGATTGGTCTAACATCAAGCGGTATCCCCTCATAAATCACATGCTGGGATAATAATGATTCCACTAGTTTGTCAATGGCTTTGTCTTCTTCTTCTGGAGGAGCTGCCTCTATTGCCGTCGATCTTTCTAGAAAAGGTTCTGTTGGCTCCTCTTCATTTTCAATTTGCACCATTCCTAATCGTTCAGATACTACTATTTTGATATTTTCTGTTTCCACTTCAGATAGAAATTTTCTTGAACGGATCACTCTAACTTGGTCACTTATCCTTTGTGAACTCATAGTCATCTGTGGATATAGTTCTTGCCAATACTGTTGAATCCTTCCTAGGTATCCCGTCTTATCTGTTTCCAATTTTGTTGCCAAAAGATATGCCTGGATGACAGCCTTGTTCATTTCTGGTGTCCATTTCATCCTTCGAGCACCTCTTGGTCTCTGTTGCCGGGTTCGTGCGGGAGGAGAAGTAGTCTCGCCCAAGCCCGAACTCGAACTAGTTGCCGGTTCTTGCAGTCTTGTGGTCCTTTGCGACAGGGTGGCGCCACTTGCTCCGCCACTACCTGAAGGAAGCTGTCGAAGGTTCCCGCCTGGTGCAGCCTCATTCCCAGGTTCGTCCGAGGCTATACGTCGATTTCTTAGCTCCATTTTTGATGGGTGATTGCATTTTAAACCTTCTGCCAGGCCTTCCTAGGTAAGGTTGCCCTGGGTGTGTACTGCAAATGTCCTCGGTGTCAGTGTATGTGGTATTGTATACTGTGATGTATGTGTTTGTGAACGGTGGGATGTACTCAGGATCCCGGGGGAGCATAAAACCCCAACAACTGCGTTCATCAGTTGCCCTTGCGGGATTATTATTATTATTATTATTATAATTGGAGCCTATTAGGATTGCCTTGGTCTTTTCCGCATTCAACTTCAACTTGTTAACTCCTGCCCAGTCGTATATTCTATTTAAATCTTCTTGAAGCTTTTTTGTGGCGGCTAATAGGTCGGAAGGGGGGAAGGAAAGGTATATTTGGAAATCGTCTGCATAGATGTGGTATTGGGAGTGATGGATCTGGTTGGGAAGGTCAATGTAAATAGCAAACAGAGTAGGAGACAAGGAGGAACCCTGAGGGACACCACAGGAGATGGGAAGTGTCTTTGAAGGAGGTTGATCTGGGACGACTACATACTGGGATCGATCGGAAAGGAAGGATTTGAACCAACGTAGGACACTGTTGGATAGAGGAAGATTTTGCAATTTGGTAAGAAGGATGTTATGGTCAACTGTATCAAATGCTTTGGAAAAATCTAGAAGGATGAGGATAGTAAGGTTTTGGTGTTCAATGGAGTTTTGGAGGTCATGGGTTATTTTAAGGAGGGCAGATTGCGTTGAATAGCCGGGTCGGAAGCCAGATTGGAATGGATTGATGAAGGAACGTTCTTCTAGTAAGTTGGAAAGTTGATTTTGGACAAGGCGTTCCAGTGGTTTTGAGAGGTTGGAAAGAAGAGAAATAGGGCGGAAGTCGTTCTGTGAGGAAGGGTTAGATGTTTTACTCAATGGTCGGACGAGTGCAGTTTTCCAGGAAGAGGGAAATGTGGAATTTTGCAATGAGAAGTTGTAGATATGATAAAGTACTGGAATAAGGGTAGGAAGGCTGGATTTTATTAGTTTTACTGGAATATTGTCAGGACCATAATCATTGGTGTGGGATTTGAGTATAGTGGAAAGTACTTCGTCGTAGGACACATGGGAAAAAAAGAAGTTTTCAGGATTGAAATTATGGTGTTCAATATCATGAGTAGAAGAAGGATTAGAAGCAAAAGATAAAAAATGGTCATTAAGATCATCTGGAGTCACAGGGAGGGAAATGAGGTTATTGGAATATGGTAGGGATAGATTACGAAGTATTTTCCATTTTGATTTGGAATCGGAAGCATTGGTAAGGGCATTATGAAAGTAGTTGGATTTAGCAAGTCGGATTGTAGATTGGGTTGCATTACGGAGTTGTTTAAAAGATGCATAATCAGCAGGTAAGCGGGTTTGACGGTATTTGCGCCTTGCTGCATTCCTTCTCTTTATCATTCCCTTTATTTCAGGAGTCAGCCAAGGAGCAGTGGGACGACGTAAGATTCTGGTTTTCAGAGGAGCATAGATGTCTAATATGGATTGTAGGTTTGAGGTAAGGGTGGATATCATAGGGTCAATGGAGGTGTAGGAAAATATGGTATCCCATTGGGCAGAATCCAGGTCAGGTTGAAGGGATTCATATGAAAGGAGGTTTAGATTACGATATGATACTATTTTGGGAGTAAATGATTTCACGGGTAGGTCGTACGAGATTTGGATCAGGTCGTGTGATGATAGAAAAGGTACAGGGTGTTGAGAGGAGGAAAGGATTTTAAGCGGTGAGTCAGAGATATGGAGGTCTAACCAGGTGTCAGAGAACTGAGTGTGATGAGTGGAAGAATAAGGGACAAGATAAAGATTGAGAGAAAATATTAGATCATTGAGGTAGTATTTGTCGGGGGATTCTGTGAGCATATTTACATTAAAATCGCCGGAGATGATGATATTGGAGTAGGAGGAAACCAGGTTGACAAGGGAGGATTCGAAGAGTTGGTCAAATAGAACACGAGGAGGGCGGTAGACAACAACATACAATAGAGGAGAGGAAATAGCGGTAATTTCAACAAATAAATATTCAACGTGAGGGAGGTCATGAAAAGGAGACTAAGAGGATTTTGGCCTTGAGACTATTATGTATATATAGTCCGACACCACCTCCCGTGCGATCAGGTCTGTCATGATGTAGGAAAGAATAATTGGGGAGGGAAATTTGGGAGGAAGGAATAAAAGGTTTCAGCCAGGTTTCAGGTACTGCTATTGTGTGGTAAAAATTATCGAGGAAATATTTTTGGAATTCATCAAAGTGGGCATTAAGGGATTGTGCATTGACGTGACAGGAATTTAGGATATTAGTCATAACTGAGATGTTGGGAAGGAGAGTTGCGGGGAAAAGGATCGAGAAAGGAGAGTAGGATATAACAGTTTTTTTAACAAAATATTCATTTTTGCAACAGAAAAGAAAATATAAGCTTAAAATAAACTTTGAAAAGAAAGAGTTAAAATCATATAAACTCAAATAGAAATAAATATAAAGAATTAACTTATGATGTGAACAAATATAAAGTTGGCTTTGGTTACAATAAATTATAAAGAAAAAACATTCCGTCAAATGAAATTCCAGCTCTTTAAAACGATAATGAAGAAGGAACTTACAAAAATAAAAATATTTTTGATAGAAAAGACTAAAATTGATACAAATTTTGGGAGACTTACATACAAAATTCATATAAAGACGTCCAAGTCGCTTGCCTTCCCTATAACTACCCGCCGGACATCCATCTGACTGTCTGCATCGAATTTTGCCACCACTGAACCACAGGTATTTTATCTTTGCCGTCATCTTTTTTTGTCTGGCTAACCAGTATAGATGTTTATTGGCGGGGATCATTGCTTCGCTCACGTAAACCTGGTGCGAATCGTTATCCCCCCAGCCCAGATGGCGTGTAGAGAAGTCTCTTTTCATTCTTCTCTGCTGCAGCAGCTCATCTCTTGTTGTTTGCCTGACGAAGCGAGCAATGATAGCGCCTGGAGTCCCTTCCTGCTTCGGTTTGAGCCTCACCGCGTGATCCAGATCGTCTGGACTTAACTTGATGCCCAGACCCGCTCCGACGCTAAGAATGGTCCCAGTCACAGTCTCACCCGGCTTTTCTGGAATTCCTCGGATTTCGACTGTATTTTTTAACTGATATTGCTCAGTATAATTTAATCGAATTTCCAGCTCCGATATTTTTTTCTTTAAGGTGGTGTTTTCGATAGACAATTTTTCTACGTGTTTTTTCTGTTCTTCCAGCAGGGTTTCTATCTTTAACAGCTTTTCCATATTTTCAAAAGACAGTTCCGACTGTTTGTTGAGGCAGTCTTTTATTTCCTTTAACTCGTCGATGCCCTGAAGTCTCACCCTGCTTTTCTGGAATTCCTCGGATTTCGACTGTATTTTTTAACTGATATTGCTCAGTATAATTTAATCGAATTTCCAGCTCCGATATTTTTTTCTTTAAGGTGGTGTTTTCGATAGACAATTTTTCTACGTGTTTTTTCTGTTCTTCCAGCAGGGTTTCTATCTTTAACAGCTTTTCCATATTTTCAAAAGACAGTTCCGACTGTTTGTTGAGGCAGTCTTTTATTTCCTTTAACTCGTCGATGCCCTGAAGCTTGGTCTTCATCTAACCTCATTGGAAGTAGAGCCTCCTACTATGATTGTGTTTTATGCTCACCATCACCCAAGAGACATTTAAACATTCATTTAATTTTTGTTTCCCTTATAAATTAGTTTTATTCTTTTTGGACAGTTATTTTTTCTCTTATTTTTCTCTATAATTTTAGAAGTTGATTTTATTTATATTTTGTTCCTAATGGTTAAATTGTCTTTATTTTCACTGAATATTGTATTTATGTTTGGTTTTATTTCAGTGCATTTTAACAGTCTTCTTTCATTTTGTTTTGTTTTCAACATTTTGTATATATCTTTTTCCACCATAGTAAATATTGTAAACATTCAGAAGGGGATTTTTAAATTTTTATATTTTTACATTTTTGATTCATTGAATATTTTTATTTTAATATTTTGATGTGCATATATTTTTCATGTTTTGCAGGTCTCATTTTTTACTCTCAATTTTTAACCTTCTTTCCCATCGTTTAATTTTATTCTTATTTTCCTCACCTTTGAGGGAACTCACGGGGGAAAGGTCTGTATTTTTATTTTGAAATACCTCTGGCTCCAACATCATTAATCGTGCTTTTTTTCTAAAACCTATAAAAAATAACTAATAATATCAATCTGACTGAATGTCAGCTGAACATTTTTCATTCTGTATATTTTAATTTTTGTCTATTTTTAGAAATATAATAAGAAAATAACTGACTTGAAACAGCCTTTGCTTGTATCAAGACCCAAAGCGAGAGACATTAGGGCTGGAAGGACTCAAAATCTTATTCTAATTCCTGAATTTTGCCAAATGACTGGTCTTGGTGATGAGATGAGGTATATTATTATTATTTCTATTAGCAATTTTTTAATAATTTTTTTTATTTTTCATATATAAACATTGTTTTATTTTAGGAATAATTTCAACTTGATGAGGGCAGTTGCAGAATGTACCCGTGTACCACCTAACAAACGTATTAAAGATTATTATAAGTTTCTTAAAGGCATAAATGGATGTTCAAAGGTATGAAATCTAATATATTTTTTTTTAATAATTTATCTATTTTAAAATTAAGATTATTCCAACATTGTTTGATGTCTGCAAAAAGTTACTTGTCACATCTATATTTTTATGATGGTCTTTATTTTATTGTTATATCAAACAATTAATGTTTGGTTTGTAAAACTATAATGTATGAAAATTTTCATTTTATATATCAATAATATTTTAAAAATTGACTACTAATAATACTATTAAATATGTACTAATTGTAGCTTTGAAATTTATTAGGCTGTTGATAGACTTGATTCGTGGAATGTCCAATTTGCTCCAACATTGGAATCTGTCCCTTCACGAATTTTCGATCCTGAGGCTTTGCATACAGCTGATGCTAATGACCTTATAAAGCCGCAAGATGGAGATTGGTCTCGTGCTCTGCGTACATGTGGCATGTTCGCGACTGTCAAGTTGGAAACCTGGGTATTAGTTGCTACAAAACAGGCAACTTATGATAAGAGGGTGAACGGTAACGCCATTGATAATTTTCTAAATGAACTCACGAGAGCAGGCAAGAGTTTAAAATTTGAAGTGAGCAGACCTGAAGTGTAAGTTTACTTTTTATCTATAAAATGTCTTTTATCAATAAATAATACATTTAAATTTGTTAATTATCCATTGTTTGAGGAACCTCTATAAAAATTTGTTAAATTTAAGTCATGGTGGATGATAATTTCGAGATAGCACCTCAGTAGTCCCAATAACCTTGTACATCATACAAGTGCATCAAGTGGTGGTAGAAGGTTTAATTTTTTTTTTCTTGTATGGGATGTGACCAAAACGTAAAATTAAAATTTTTGACCTCTGCGCACACCCTGAATCACTTTTGAATATCCTCAAAACTGCTATATTTTTGTAGTTTAACAGTTTCTTATCCAAATTATATTTATTTCACATAATTATTTTAAATTATTAAGACTTCAAATTATTTCTCAAATTGAGCTGAGACAAATAAACACACATTCCTCAATTATATAAATTAAAAATAATAATAATAATAGTAAGGCTTAGCGAACCCGAAGGTTCGATGCCGACACCACCAATTGCTTGTTACACACCTCCCTCCACCGTTCGCCGTCCAAACCCAGTCCCTTCAGATCGGCTTTAATGCAATCTTCCCACCTTCGCTTCGGTCTACCCCTCGGACGCTTACCATTCGGCACAGCAAATATTAACCTTTTAGGAATTCTCTCGTTACTAAGCCCAACAACTTTGCAAGCCCATTTGATTCGCCGCGATGAAATTATATTATATCAATGAATTATATCAATGAAATTATATCAATTATATTACCCGGATACAGCTCACGCAATTCGGCGTTGTGTAACCGTCTGAACTCTCCGGTTAACTCATCCTTCTTCGGTCCGAATATTCTACGCAATATTTTATTTTCAAAAACCTTAAGACGCTGCTCATCCCTTAATGTAAGCGGCCAAGTTTCGCATCCATAAAGAACTGTAGGCAAGATAATTGTTTTATAGATTCTAATTTTTAAGTTTCGGGACAAGAGGCGCGAACTGAGTAGTTTTGTCACAGAAAAATAACAAGCATTTCCCGCCTTCAGTCTAACCTTAATCTCCTCTTCAATTTCGTTTTTTCTAGTTATCGTAGAACCTAGATACCTAAATTTATCTACCTGTTCAAACATATTACCATCTATATCGATATCACCAGTAGTATCGCCATTTTTGCAGTTAACCATATATTTTGTTTTATCCACGTTTATTTCGAGTCCTAGTTCTTTACCGGCTTTCATTAACGTTGTCGTATTTAGTTTTATAGTTTCAACGTCTTCGCTTAACAGTACCAGATCATCAGCATAGCCCAGCACGGAAGTTGTCCCGCCCAGATCCAACCCTTTCTTGGTTCGATATACCTCCCTAATGGCATGTTCTAATGCCAAATTGAACAGGACAGGCGAAAGAGAATCCCCCTGTTTTAAGCCCGATCGAACCTCAAATTTTTCGGACAAATTATTACCGATTCTAACTTTATTGAGTGTCTCCGTCAAGCACATCCTGACTAGATTTACTAGTTTTTTTGGAATCCCCTGCTCGATTAGAATATTGTACAGTTTCTGGCGGTCAATAGAATCGTAAGCCTTTTTAAAATCTATATACAGCTGGTGAACAATACCGTTATACTCCAATTTTTTCTCTAATATTTGCCGTAAAGAAAATATTTGATCAATTGTCGAACGATTCCGTCTAAATCCGCATTGGTATTCTCCGATAATTTCTTCGGCGTATTCCGTGATTCGACTGGTTAAGATTAAAGTGAATATTTTATAACATACCGGAAGGAGTGAAATTCCTCGATAGTTATTACAATCCGTCCTCGGACCCTTTTTGTGGATCGGAATAAGAATAGATTCTTTCCATTCTTCAGGTAATTTCTCGTTCACCCAGATCTTTTTAATCAACCGATGTATTTTAGAAACTCCAGCTTCCCCGCATGCCTTAATTAGTTCAGTAGGAATATTATCGGTTCCCGCTGCTTTATATGATTTTAATTTTCCGATAGCTACTTCAACTTCCTCTTTACTTGGTTCTTCTATTAACGGTTCAGCACTCTGGTACTCAGAAGGAGGACACAGATCATAATTTCCCGTATTTAAAATATTGTCAAAGTGGTCCTTAAACTTATTCAATATGTCAACCGGATCGGTCAGAATATTGTTATTATCATCCCTAATTCCAGACGTTACGGGCCCTACATATTTACGTGATCTGTTTATACCTTTGTACATGTCTCTTACGTTATTTTCGATTCTATTAGTTTCTATTTTAATTATTTTATTTTTAAGATACTCCCTTTTTTTATTTTTGAGCAATTTTGTCGTTTCGTTCTTTGAGATTCGGAAGTATTCCAGATTGTCTTCGCTAGGATTATTTAGAGCTTTTAATTTAGCGGCTTTTCTTTTTTCGCACATGTTTAAGCAATCTTCATCAAACCACGGTTTGTTATTCTTATTTTCCTTTTTTCCTAGACACGAGTTACCGACCGCTTTAATATTATCCCTGATCTCTACCCATAACTTGTCAATATCCTCGTGGTCCTCGTCAGGAAGCTCTAAAGCTTCAAACCTATTCTTAACATCTAGCTCGAATTGGGTCCTAATGGATGGATTTTTTAATTTTTCCAAATTAAAATTCTCAAAATCGAACCGGCTTTCTTTTCTCTTTTTTATATTAAGTTTTTGTCGAAGTTTCGCGATTACCAATTCATGATCCGACCCACATTCTGCTCCTCGATAAGACCGTACATTGATTATACTGCTTTGCCAGCTGTGTTGTATTAAGACATGATCGATTTGATTTCGTGTTTGCGAATCCGGTGATGTCCAAGTATATTTATGAATATCCTTATGTTTAAACGTCGTACTTTTAATTATCAGGTTTTTCGAGATGGCAAAGTTTATCAGACGGATCCCATTATCATTACTATATTCGTGCAAACTTTCTTTACCAATCGTCGGAATATAAACTTCTTCCCTTCCTACCTTTGCGTTCGCGTCACCTACAATTATTTTCATGTAGTTTCGCGGTAGTTTATCATAAACCCATTCGAGTTTATCGTAAAATTCACTTTTGACATCATCGTCACTGTCTTCGGTTGGACAATGTATGTTTATTAATGCGATTTTAAACCAACGTCCCTGAAATGTAGCTGCCGAAATTCTATCACTAAAGAATTGTACGTCCCTCAAAGCGGATAGTAATCTACTCCTAATTAGAAACCCGGTACCTAAACAATGATTCCCACTTCCTCCGTACCAAATAGTGTACTTTCCTTCCCTCATCAAGCCCTCCCCTGGCCAGCGAACCTCTTGCAGAGCCACGACATCCAAATTGTACCCATTTACCTCATTCGCGACCGATTTTAGCCCCCCTGCTGTGTTTAAACTCCTTACGTTCCACGTACCAATATTTAAATCCCTATATTTCAACTTGCGCCATGAATCCCCTAAAGCAGTCCCCACCCGGAGACCCGAACGGGGGACTAGTTTACCTCCGGATAATGAGCGTTTTACCTTAGGGAGATACATGACTTTTTGTGGTGTTTGGTGAACTAAAGATATGTGAGTAGGGCGTTCAATCCTACGTCACACCCTCCAGCAAGTCTGGTGGGCCCCTACCTCCAGCAAGTCTGGAGGTCCCCTCCCTCCAGCAAGTCTGGAGGGCCCCTCTCATTGTTGGTCAGCGAGTCCATCGGACTTAGCCGGGAGGAACTTCCAAGGAATTTCCACCGACCATCCCCACATCCGCCACCCGTGGGACGCTCCCCATACGCGGTAATGAGCCCGCGCGAGGTATATAAATTAAAAGCATACATTAATTTTATATACAACATTTATGAATTTCCATTAAATTTTGTGAGGGTCTACTCTTGGCGCTTTCTGTTGCTGTTAATTTTCTACTCTCCCTGGTCCGCAGTGAATCTCCCTTTGTATTGTTGCTGCTTTATTGCAGGCTTTATTGTATTCAACTTCCATAAATTTCTTCTCTTAATCTTCTATTTTCCCGTCATTGACCCCCCCCCTCTTTCCTTGCCGGCTGGTTATACTTTTTGTTCCCAACATATGGCACTTTCTCTCCCTTCCATCTGTCTTCCTCCGCTTCTTTGTCCATTCCATGACAGTAGTTTGTGACATCACTGTGTAATATTTACATTACAATATATATATATATATATATATATATATATATATATATATATATATACATATATATATATATATATATATATATATATATATACATTTTTTTGTTTTTGTTAGCTCTACAGTTCTTCTTTGGCCACCTGAACCCTTTTTTTTTTTTGTGTGTCCTCCCCTTCCTCGCCGTTAAGGCTATACGGGGTTTTCCCGGGCCAGAGAGTGTAGGAGGGGATAAAAGACGCCTTGGCATCGGGATGCCAACTCGGGACTATTTTTATAACATTTGTCATATATCAGGTTGCCGGGCAGGTGGTGCTGTGCACACGTGTTAGCCCATTCGGCCACACCGCCCACAAAATAATTGGCCGCCTGAACCAGTCTTCTCCACCTCTGCCTATCTTGGGCTATTGCTTTCCAGCGTATCTTTGTTTATCCTATCTATCCATCTGGTTTTTGGCCTCCCACGTGGTCTCTTGCCTACTACTTTGGCATTCATTGTTGTGTAAAGGCGTCCTGATGGATTGCTACGAGGTACATGCACCCCATCTTAACCTCCTTGCCTTCATGTCATGAGATATTGACTGACCCATTTCTTTTAGCAGTTCTTTATTGTTCCTCCTCCTCCATGTGTCAAGGTTCTGGTCCCATATAGGTCCTGTTATCCTACATAGCAGTTTTCTTTTGAATCTCTCAATTCTGGCTCCTAGTGTGCCGGTTAGAGCCCAGGTTTCACAACCGTACAGCAGAACTGGCCTAATCACAGAGCTGTACACCCTTATTTTTAGATTTCTGAAGATTTTTCTGGATTTCAGTATCCTTGAAAGAGAGAAGAAAGATCTGTTTGCACTTGTTATTCACTGGTCTATCTTTATCAGTTGATAATTTATT